AACAGGGAAACAAGAATCAAAATCCGGGTCCTTCACGTGTGAAAAGATTTGAAACTTTTTACCCAAAAAAAGAAAAAAAATTGAATGGGCTCCAATTTTTGGGGGAATGACAGCTAATTCAATTAAAATCACTTGCCTGAAAATATGGAAATATGAAAAATATGATTTTGTTTTCCAGAAAATAATATATGAAAAATATGAAACAGTGGAGACTTGACTTGTGTGTTGACAATGAGTGATCCGGACTGGACCTCCAAATTTGGGGGGATGACAGCTATGTGAATTAAAATCAGAGGTAGTTGGAAAAATGAATTTATGGGACTAACTGAGAGCTGTTACTAACTTACAAGTCAAGTGATATTGAAATCATCCAGTCAAGTTTTTATTTATTTATCTTTTCCAATTTTAAGTTTCTGGAAGATGGCATTGGATGGGATGTGAGTTTGTGACTATTCAATCGTGGACGATTCTTGACCATGAAGGGGTGTGATAATCCAATTCAATAGCTTCCAAAATTATGTAAAAACAAATGCATTTTTTTCTTTCACAAAGACTATAAAACTCAAAACCTAAATCTGCTCGGATGAGGCATGGTCACCCCCATCACCATCAACTGGACAATATTTTTACATGGGCATACAATATTATGTCCTTTGGCACTATCCTTTGCAACAATTAAGTTAAAGGTATGCGTTCAGTCAAGTTAGTCGTCTATGCAGATGTTGATGATTTTTGATTGTCGGCACTCACAATGCATCAATACATGAGGGACAAAATGGTTCCATCTCCCTAAACTTTTTCTCATAAAAAAAACAAATGATGTTGCAGTCATGTAATCAAATCTTTGTGGAAGTTGGCGCTAATGTGGGACATCGCGGACATTCAAACGCTAAGGACTTTTTTGTGTGTGGAAAAGATGCTTTATTATAACACCATAAGAGGATATAACGGAGAGGATGACCCAATGTGAAAGCTATGAACAAGAGTGTGATCTTAAAAAGATTTGCGGCCTGAAACAATCACGAGAAAATAAATAAAAAGAAAAAAGAAGACTCTTGCCCAAAACATTATATGAGGGACAAAAAGGACCCCCAGTGGAGTCTAGTGCCGGAGCAATAGTGGCCTTGTTAAAACATTATCTTGAAACCCCCCCCCCCCCCATATGGAGGAAAAAGCTGGACAAAGCTTGCTCATCAACAACAACCAACATGCAAAACTTGGGCAAGTGGACAATGAATAAATGTTCCACAAAGCAGCCCAACAAAGCATAGTCCAGGAACGAGTTGCAAGACCAACTGCAACAACATCAGACCGCAACCTGTCTTGTAACTGCTCCACTACATACAATATTATGTCCTTTGACACTATCCTTTGCAACAATTAAGTAAAGGAATATGTTCAAGTCAGTCGTCTATTGCTGTATTAATAATTGGCATAAATTAATGTGCTAATCATCCAATTAAAAATACCCGCAAGTGCATGAATCTATTGAGGTATAGATTTGTAAGTACGAGGTCGATCCCACGAGGAACTGTCAGCCTATACAAAGTTCTAGTTTGAGTACGTAAAGAACACTTATTTAACACGACACAAAGGTAAGATACAAATTGGAAACTAGGAATGAGTAAAGAAAAGTAAAATAAATGAAACAAAACAAGAAACCAAAGATAAACACAATCAGGAATTTCTATCACTCCTTTATCACCTTTCTATCACTACTTTATCATCACTGTATCACCTATGTATCACATGTTTATCACCCAGTGAACAATGCGCGACCCATCGTTTTTAGGCAGTGTGCCAGTGTGCGCCCTGTTTTCAGCTTCGACCTCTGTCTAGTTTTTGACCTATAACTTTCCAATCATTTTATGGTTGAATTCAGCACATAAAAATGAAGAACCAGTGCGGACCAAATGTTAAAAAAAGAAAGAAAGAAAAAAGGAAGTGAGCAGAATTCAGTAGAAAGAACACTCAAGATTTCAAACACACACACAATTTTTTTTTGGGGGGGGGAGGGGGGGGGTGTTGATTCAAAGTGACCTAATTCTAATGCTTAAATGCCAACTCTAATTCAACAAGATTGACAAAAATAAATATCAAAATGTGGCTTACAATGAAGAGAACACTAGGGTTTTCGGAATCCGCTATAAACAATCCTACTCATGTCCATGGACACTCAAGTTATGAACTCTAAATATGTTGATGAAGATGTTCACAATCAAGACCGGGTCTAGTGGCTCAAGAGGCATTGATTCTTTCCAGTATAAGTAGAGTGCAGGGCTAGTGCTATAATACTTGTGCTTTTCACATAATCAATCTAGGTATGCTTAGTACTTCGAATTAATTATATGGAAAACCCATTAAGTTCAAAGAGAATATGAACATCACATGAACCCTAATAGTAAGGTGTTTACATTAGACATTCAAGAAACCAATTCACATGGATGATTCTTACTTCATCCATTTGTTGCTTAGGAAAACATAAGGGTACATATAATCCCAACAATCTCAAGAAACAATCAAAGAAAAACATACATCAAGGATAGATTATTTTGGTGAATGGGAATTCACCAACAACATCTAGAAATTCATAAACTCAAGCATCAAAACAATAAAGTAATCATGTTTAGGACTTCAACCTAAGCCCTAGCTATGGAGTTTAGTTCCTCATGTTAATAGTAATTACAACTTGAAATAAAACTAGAAAGAGTTTACAGATTTTGCGAAAGTGATAGAAGCTCAAGGTCTTCAATGGTGGAAATCTTCTTCTCCTTCTTGCTTGGCTCCTCTTTTGCTCTCCTCCAGCTTTGTTCTCCAAAAATGTCGAATCCCTCTTCAATGGGCTTATGCCCTTCCCTTTTTGCTCCTTCTCTCTCTTGCCAACTCATTCTTCAATATTAAAGTCCACCTTTTACCCAAAGTCATTGACACATGCTCCACTTGTCTCCACTTTCATCATTTCATTTTGGTTTTAAGACATAAAGAGAGATTCTAATCTATTACCAATCTGAAATTAAATCTCTACAATGTCACCAAGAGGTGTGGTAACAATTAGAAGGGAGATGACACCAAGTAAGGATAAAAGTTGACCCAAAACAGACTTCCAGAGTTAGGTCCAATGTTGGATTGGTTGGCTAAGCTATACTTTCTCAATGGAGCTCAAATTCGGATATGTTGTAGTCAACATCCATTGGAACAAGTTTCATGATGATCTTCCCGGCATCCGAGCAACATAACATGCTGATCCAAGGCCAAGAAGTTGACCTACGAAAATGAGCAAAAGCAGATTTTATATTCAATAATGCATTTTTAGCTCACTTTCATTCTAACCAAGTTAAAATTCTATAAAAACATAAAAAGGAAGTAAAATGCTATTAAATGTCAAGAACCAACTTAAAATATTATGTGAATGATAAATCATATATAAAAATGAACCAAACATCTATGCGGACGTCGATGATTTTTGATTGTGGATGCATGTAGATCACAATGCAAGCCAATGGATGACTGAAACCTCTCCGACAAGTTGGCTTGAGAGACCCCATCCTCCAAGTAGCCTGTAATCTTCCTCTCTAGCTCCTTAGACTAAGAATATTAGCTGCACTATGTATAAATGCCTTGGTGGCTTGATATGCGATAATGTTATTTCTAAAAGTTATATGCCACTTATTTCAGTATTAAAGCATGTTTTCCATTGACCAGTTTCAAATTATGCAAAGTACTAAGTAACTTATTTAATTTGCAGAAGACTAAAATCTGAGTCTGCAGCTTCAAGGTAATGCAAACTAATTAATCCACTGTACAGCTTCATATCTATACCGCCAATCAGCCAGAACTGGGCTAACTATATATGATTTGCACAAGCACGTGTGAATTACATTAATCTCAGAGAACTGGACAGCCATTGGCAACTATACCCGGTGCCGTGGGACACGTGGCCAGTGGGCAATGGTCATGAGCTTCCTGGCCCCACCAGTTTGGACCCATGATATCCTTGGATTGGTGGGCGAAATACAGCAGAACTGCTGTGAAGGCCACACCAGCATCCAAAGCAGCAGAGAGGATATAGATGGGCCTAGCCCACCAGCCCTTGTACTTTCTGTACACATAAAAGTTGAGGAAAATCCCAACTGCAAGCCATGTCGAATAGTTCACAGCCCTAGCAGGAGGCATGGAACCTGTGGCTCCAAGTATAATGGGCATGTTTATGAGCTCGATCCGCCTTTGGTTGGGAAATTGTTTAGAGAGCAGCCAAACAGGAACAGTGCCAATTAGCAAATGAGGAAGAACCAGTTGAGCTCTGGGTAGACTCCTTTGTCAGTGAACGTTCTGAGGGGGCCAATGACCCCCCAAATGATTGATGCATGTAGAACACATCATCACCAGGACATGTCCATGGCCTTCCCTCTGGCAGCTTTGATGGATCACAGATGTGCTCAATGATTGTGAGAAGCCACCAAGATGTTCCAAAGTAGATTGAAGCAACCTTTGTTCCAACTAACTGAAGATCATTGAAAAAAAATAAAAAAATATAAAAAGGAAAGAAAAAGGAGGGGGAATAGAAATGAGTGGATAATTTTAAAGAAAATCTTAACATAGTAAGGAACCAAAATCCTAACTAGATAAGGACTTGCTAACAATAAATATACATTAATTTGGTAATTGTGTTTATATAATCGATAGTCTAAACTATTGTAAATTGAAAATGGAGATTCGAATTTGGGTGCAAAGAGACGAGTTCGCTACCCTAACCAACTAACCTAATCCATGCCATACAACGGAAAGAAAAAAAAAAAAAAAAAAAAAAAAACCTTGACCCTCGATAATTGGTTTACAATAATGATAATAAATGAATATGTACCATTGTCATTACGAAGTCTACCAAACCATGTAGGTGGATGTATGTGGACTTAAAATTACAAGTCCGCATGAGCTAATAATGTTGTAGGACGAAGCTGGCTCCTATAAAATAAGTAGATAATATATGCCTTGACACAGCATAGTGATCGATAAGTTCTACTTTCATAGATTTATTCACTCATAGATTTCATAGAGTTCTACTTTCATACCCTTCTTTCCAACATGAAGGTAAGCCTCTAAAACTTACACTTCCACTTCATACTTAAATTTCTCTGGATTTTATTGTACATAGGCACATACTTTCCTTTTTTATGCAAGTGAAATTGAATATATAAGATGATCATTGTTCGCACATACTTTTGTACAAATTTTTATGTGCAGCAAAAGCTAGTAGTGAGTGTGCCAATGCGCTGTGACAAATGCCGAAACAAGGCCTTGAAGATTGCTGCAGCTGCACACGGTACGCATCGATCAATCGATACATACAGATCAATTTATCAAAAAAAGAAGAAAAGAAATTCAAGTATTTCATCACTAATAATTAGGTCAGTTGATAAGTATTAATGGATGATTACATATAAAGCAGGTGTGAGCAAAGTGTCGATCGAAGGAGCAGACAAAGATCACATTGAGGTGATTGGAGATGGGGTTGACTCTGTTTGCTTGACCAGTTTGTTAAGGAAGAAGCTTGGCTTCGCCACCATTGTCAAAGTTGAAGAAGTGAAAGAAGCTAAAGCTGATAAGAAAGAGGAAAAGCCAACCGGTCCTCCATGCTATGTTCAATATTGTCCTCCAGTGTACTGTGAACTGGTTCATGAATATCCAGAACCAGTCCAATGCTCTATCATGTAATTCCCAGCAATTACTGTATTTAGCTTTGAAGATCACGCTACGGTGACTTTGTAATATTGGTAGTATACATTTTGTTGTACTCTATTATTGTCAATAAGACAAAACCTTCCAACCAAACATTCTTCACATGGGCTGCCTAAGTTTTCCGCTTCTTCATGCTTAGCCTAGCGGCTTATGATTATCTAATGGTGATGCAATAAGCAATGGCAAAAAGCAAACAAAAATAAGCGTTCTTGCTTTGTGATAGTTGAGCTTAATTATCTATTTATCTATGTACTATATTTTTTAAAATCAGATAATGGATCCTATTTTTTTTAAAAAAATTTAAATTTATTTTAGAATTAAAAAAGATAATGGATAGTTGTGTTCCATAAAAATAGGATCCATTATTTGATTTTTCTTTTTTTTTTTTAATTTTTTAATATGAAAAAGTGTGAATTTACCATATTATCATCATTTAATTAATAATTTCAATTCTTAATGTTTGCATTAACAAATGACATTTTTTGGTATTTTGAATGTTTTACCGTTTTCTGCCTTTTACTTTATATATATAGATATATAGAGCAAAACGCAATGAAGAGTGCTTCTCTTACCATATTGGAGGAAAAGGCAGTGAAGAGTAAAGCTACTTCTAATTGATATGGATGTTCACCTCATTTGACACATAAGGTCGTATGGAAATGTGGTACACAAATATGGTAAGAGTAGCATTATTCAATTATGAAACATTCAAAATACCAGGAAATACCATGTTTAAAAATTAAAAATTATTAACTAAATGAAGATAATACGATCAATTTATATTTTTTTATATTAAAAAAACTAAAATAGATAATGGTCTTATTTTTATGGAACATAACTAAATACTCAGCTTATCTTTTCCCTATTCTAAAATTCTTTTTAAAAAAAATAAAAAAACCTCGCGCATGTGCCAAGGAAGCTAATATATATATGCGCGTGTAGGACATTAACACAACCGCCTATTTAGCTACACCAACTTATTCTATTAATTGATGCATAAACTTTATTTTATTAATAAATACATAAATGTCAATAAAGGAGGCTAGTCCTCCAAACGCAAATGGGTGGGGCTAGGTGGGTCATTAGAGCACCTCCACCCTAAAGGCAATGGCAAGGTAAAGGTAGGGCAAGACAAGGTTTGACACTATTCATGTGAATAATAGCAACTTTGTCTTTTTTGGTTACACCCCAAAGGGTAATGGTAAGGACAAACACTATTCGTTTTACTTTATTTTTTTATACTTAAACCATTAATTTTGATAAGCTTTTTGGACAAGATTTTCGGTTGCCACATGTCAATATTTATTATAAAATTCTCACCTAAAATTTAAGATAACATTTTCGGATAAAATTTTCAAATTAAATTTTCGGATAAGATTTTCAGTTGCCATGTGTCCATATTTATTATAAAATTCACATCTCATTCATCATACAATTGAAATATCTACTCACTCATCATACAATTAAAATACTCTCGGTCCTCATAATCCGACACAATGGAGTATAAGGACGACTCAATCATTGGCGGAGACGTTTCCACCGAATCATGACATAAGGGAGTATTTTCCTTCAGAGGACGTAATAATGCCATTATTTTTTACGGGGAACGCACACTGGAACCGATTGCGGGCAGTGCTCACTTGAGGAGCCATGTGTAATGGTTTTCCTCTTTTTTATTTTCCCTTGAATAATCTATTAAAAAAATGAAATTGGAAATGCAAGAAATATATATAAAAGCAATTAATTTAATTTTTTTTTACCTCGTTGCCAAGATTTTGACCTCTTCGATCGTTTGTCCACGACCCTCCGGCTTTGATGGAAGAGGCTATTTGTATTTTTGCATAAATGAAATTTTGTAGTAGAAAATTTGGTGTGGAAAGTGAGAAATATTGGAAGGAGATGAATTTGTATGAAGATTTGGTGTGGAAAGTGAATAATATTGGTACGTATTTATAGAAAAAAAAAAATTCAGAATTTTTTAATAATTTTTTGATTAATTTTTTAGGCAAAAATTGGATAGCCGTTGGATTGGGTAAGATTTTTTGATTGGAGGCTCCAAGAAAAGCTACGTGGCTTATAGCCGTTGGGCTATGTGGGCTGGTGGGTCAGCATTGACGTCAGCGGCTGATTTTCAATTTTTTTTACTGTTGGCGCGTGTATTACTGGTGCCAACAATTTAAAAAAAAATTGAAAATTAGGTGCTAACGCTAGCATGATGTCACACTGACATCAGCATGATGTTACGCTGACGTCAGCAGCCTGGGGGCAACAACGCAGTCCATTTTGCATGTGGGCTATCCCGAGCTGGTGAGTCCTATGCCTTGCCCGGGCTGCCTTTTACGCACTGGAGGTCCAAATCTCGCTGGAAGGGGCTTGTTGCCATGGCAGCTGGGCTGCGCTGAAGGTGCTCTTAGAGATGCTTATGGCTGGCTAGTGCAGGGAGGGGGTGTAGGGGGATTATATGGCTGCTTGGCCTTGGCCTTACTGATAGAGGCTAAGGCTATAAGATAAGCTTTGCTTGCTTGCATCAAGTGTCGACTGTTGTGTGTGGAAGTTGAATTTGAATTGGTGTAAATGATTCAGATGTTCAGAAGTGAACGTCACGTAGATGTTGTGGAAGCTATTATTTTTTATATTAAGATGCTTGCTAGTAAGCTCTAACATGTCATTTTTATAGCTACTCCCTATCAGTATAATAAGGCAGTGCATGAGGTTGTGGTCTTTGTGTCTAGAGTGGGAGGTAACCACGTCTGGGACCAAGTGTGGCCCAAATGGATTTTTGATATTTTGGTTAGTGATGTAAACATTTCTATTTGTCTTTAATAAAACTCTCTTCGTCGGGAAGGAAAATTTAAGTCAAATATTTTCTTTTCAAAATTTATCATTCTCTTCTAACCTACCTCATGTGGATGTTTTTAACCACTTAAGTTACAAGTCACATACAATATAATGAGTGTTTTGAGTTAAGCATTCATTACATAAATGAACATTGTAGAATATGTAGCAACCACCAAGAGTGAGCATTTGGAAAAGAGAGAATTACAAGTTTAGTTTTTTTTCTTCTTTTGTTGGACAAAATTAAATACAAACCCAAAAAAAAAAGAAAAAAAAGAAAAGGGAATTCCAGCAGTATATAAGCCATTACATATTATTTGATAAGAGGAATGATAGCAACCTTCTTTCTAACCTTCTCTTTTGGACCTTCTCTCTTCTTCTCATGACAAGTGTCATTTTCCTTACACTTAAAACAATGTCATTAATGCATCACACAAGTTAGTTTTTATTTTCCAAGTTTACCATTTTAAAATATATTAGCTTTTATAGTTCCTTCAATTTATTCAAATTTTGTTTCACTTCTTTAGCACATTATAATAATTTTATATAATTAAAAAAACGTCATTTTTTTTTCTTTAAAAATAAAGTTTGTTTCAAGATGTTGTTATCATATTTATTTTGTTTTTAACAAAAACACACGTTCTCTTTGGAAAAAAAAAATAGTTTTTATTTTCTTATTTTATTTTTTTAACAAGGTGGTAAGAAAGTTGTAAAAAAAAATTAGTTTGTTATTAAAAAAAAATTAATACATTTAATAAGGGTAAACTTGGAAAACAAAAACTAGTTTGTATGATGTATTAATGACATTGTTTTAAGTGTAAAGAAATTGACACTTGTCATGAGAAGAAGAGAAAAAGTCCAAAAGAGAAGGTTACTAGCAATCCCCATTTGATAAATCTTCGACGTGAACCACTTTATTCGTGTGAATTCTAAAGGGCCTAGTTGAACCCAAATTCCAAATTCCGATTAATAATCGGAGGTCCATCTGCCTCTTCTTGTCCGTAAAACCCTGAGCCCAAATTTTGCTACTCTCTTCCACTAAACCCTCAAAACCCTGACTTTAATATCAATAACACAGAGAGAGAGAGAGAGAGAGAGAGAGAGAGAGAGATTGGCGGTGACGAAGACGGCTGCTGAAGAAGTGAAAGAAGGAACCATGTCGTCCGATAACGAAGATACAACGTCGAGTTCAGAGTCTGAAGGAGCAGATTCTGTAAAAGAGAACGCTACATTGGAATTTATAGAGAATCTCTCAGATGTGCCGATGGGGCGACTACCTTCAAACATTGAATTCCAGAGGACGCGCGTCGATTGCAAGGCTGATGCTCCCATTCATGTACAGTTTTTCTACCCCTTTTTTCACTGTTCACCTTATTTTCTTTCTTTTTTTGTTTTTGGAATTCGTTTATAGTCTTGAGAAGAACTGTTTATTTTTTTGGTTGGTTGGGTTGATTGATGCTCTTGTTTTTTTGCTTTTTCAAAATTTAAAGATATCCATTATTGGTTTATGGCTGCTTTTGTGTTCTATTAGGTGCTTTTGGGTTCTCTTAGGTTTATTTAACCGTTGAGTCAAAATTTGGGTTCTGTGGTTGGTTAGTTTTGTTGATGGTCATGCTTGGTTGCTAAGGAAAGGTAGGAAAGTCAAGGTTTTTTTTTGTCCTTTGGAGTTGTTATCTAATTGAGTTACCAGAAAACATAAGCTCGATTCATGTTTATGCATAGATGTGTTGCATGTATTTGTTGCTGGGTACTATTATTCATGCTTCAAAGTGTAAATTTTAAAATGAATAAAATATAGTTTTGTGGATCAAGGGCTTTTCTTCGGAAAAATTACGTGGGAATGGAGAACCAAAGACAGAAATCTGCCTAAGTGGCATAGCCCTGCATACAGCAATATTAGTTGTCACTCTCTTTCATTTTTCTCAATATTTAGGAAATGCATTCATGCAGTTTCATCTCTTCGTATACTTCTTACATGTCTTAAATTTTGGTGTTTGCAGACTGATACCTTTCAGTATTCTGGTGCTTATTCATCAATGAGAGTTGAAAATAGTTTTTTGGATAACTTCTGTGACAACTTTAGAGTTGAAGTTATTCGTCTTACAGAGGATGAAATGGAGTTTGATATGATCGGCATTGATCCAGCACTTGCCAATGCATTCCGGAGAATCCTCATATCTGAGGTTTGAAATATTAAAATTCATGAATACTTGAGTATGGGTGATAAAAATATGCTTGCAATGATTAATATTTATTGGAGTTCATATACTAGTTCTATTAAAATATACCTTCTTCATGGCTTAAGTATCGTCTTCTAGTTATATGGAGTTCTTATGTACTTGCTTTCTCACGCTCTGTGACTTAGTGATCATTGTTTAAGTATCATCATGCATTGGATATCAAGCAAAAGGAATTTGTCTCCATACTTCAGCTTTTTTGTAGTCAACCTTTTAGTTCTGTGAAGGTTGAGTGACTGCATGGTTAATTTCTCAGGTTTAACGAGTTGATGTCACTGTTTCCAGGGGAAAAAATTATGTTAATGAGGTCCTTCTATTGTCATGAGTTAATCTTCTGAAATATATATCTATAAATACACACACACACACACACACACACACATATATAATATCTCTTCATTTCACTGACTAATTATTTTAGTAGTGAAAGAAATTTAGAAATCGTATGCTATTCATTTCTTTCCCTTTATAATATATTAAAACCATTTTGACCATAGATGGAAGTTTTGTATCTGCTTCCCTTAGTTTGTACTATCTCTTGGATCATGTGTTTATGGGAATCGCTATTCAGTTGGCAGTTTTGCTTATCAATGATGATCCCAAACTTTTTTTACTATACAAGTGTAGGTTCCCACAATGGCTATTGAAAAAGTTCTTATTGCAAACAACACATCAGTAATCCAAGATGAAGTACTTGCCCACCGGTTGGGTCTCATTCCGATCAAAGCCGACCCTAGATTATTTGAATATGCAGGTACTATGGTTTGGTATTTGCATTTTTATTATATAATTTAGGTTTCTCTTTGTTTATTTCCTCTACAGCTTTGAGTTATTGAGTTTTTTCCTGTGACATATTTTACTTTTTAGAAAATAATACGGCAAGTGAAAAGAACACCATTGTTTTTAAGCTCCATGTTCGCTGTGAACGAAGTGGGCAACGTCTTTCAGGTATTATTTTCACTTGTGATTTTTTAGTTGTTGTGAAGAATATCAACAAGTTTAAAACCTCTCTTTCTACAAAACTATTGGAAGGATTTTTTTTTCTTGTGATGATGATTTTACAACATTTTATGCAGTAAAATCAAAGGAATTGATATGGTTGCCAAATGGGAGTGAGTTTCCTTTGGAATCACAAGATTCAAAGACAGGTTCATCCTCAAAACCAAAAACGTATACATCATTTACTTGCAGCCAGGATTCCTTGCCAGAATTTTCCGGCAATCCAATCGCCCCCACGCTTGGAGATATTCTTATTGCTAGACTGGGCCCTGGTCAGGTAAACCTTTTATTTGTTTTGTATAATTCTGGTCATTCCTCAAAAATCATGGTGTTACACTTTTGTCTTTGCAACATAAGCAGAGTCTCAGATATTGATAGCTAGATCAACTGACTCCAAATATTATTTCAATAAAATGTAACTGTAAATTATTCAGAAAAAATATATCTTGGTTTACACTTCTCATATCACTTGCTCTTTTCAAGTAAATGGTGTTTGGGTAATAACTTATTGCTGGAGATTCACCAGGAAAATAATAAGATGGAGTTGTTTCTTAGTCCTTAGCATAAGTGGAGATTGCTAGTCCAGTATTTTGCATTATTGCCAACTACTATCTTATCAATTTCCATAGTTATTCTTTATAGTAGTCAGTAATGCTTACTGTTCTTTTGCATTTGTTTTAAATGACATTAAGTTTACTACTTCTTAGGAAATTGAACTGGAAGCACATGCTGTGAAGGGCATTGGTAAAACACATTCAAAATGGTCCCCAGTTACCCCTGTTTGGTATAAGATGCTTCCTGAGGTAAGAGGATGTGGTTTTGGGTGATTGCTTCTAACACCCTGAAGATTATTTAGAAGTAATCCGAATTTTTTTATATTTCTTGTTAGATTGTACTATTGGAAGATATTGAAGATCAGCTGGCTGAGAAACTTGTGGCAATATGCCCAGTTAAAGTATTTGATATTGAAGATATTGGCAAAGGTAAAGGATTTTTCTTTAGCATTTATTCTCCCTCTGCTTTAGATACTAGACTGACAACAAAGAATTAGTTTTAAAAGGATGCAATGCTATAGGTTTGTCCCAATATATGAGTTTCAAAAACTATTGTTATATTTGCACTTGCACAAATTGTTTGCCTTGTTTGTCATTTTCTGGAGTGGCTTGATTGATGATTTGACTGGTTAGCAGGTAAAAAGAGGGCTACTGTAGCCAGACCACGAGCTTGCACATTGTGCAGGGAATGCATCAGAGAAGGGAAGGGATGGGAGAATGCAATATCGTTACGGCGTAAGAAGGATCATTTCATTTGTAAGTAATTTCCTCTGTAATCAAAGTTGGAATTATGAATTTCTTGTAATTTCTCGTTATTGTAAGCGTCCCAGAAATGGAGCTTTAGTCTTCATCACAAATGTATGAAATTTCTGTTTCAATTCTTTTATTTGTAAAAATCACTTGCTCAGGAGTCAAAACATAGAAACTAGACTGCCTGAATTTATTTTTTCCAGTTAAAGCTGGTCTCGGAGACTTGAGATATCTGATGGTCAATACCACATTAATTAGATAATTCTGAGCTGCTCTTTGATTTGTACATTAGACTAAAATGGGATAGGTTACCCCCACTGGCTTATATATGAGTTGGATATTACCTACACATGGTGGTGTACGAGCCTCTAGAAGTTGGAATTTTGGATCATTGTCAGTTACGACCTTACGGTGTCTTCTTCGATATCAATGGTTGATGATATAATTGGAGTCTCTTGTAGAGTTTATATAGGAAAAATAAGTTTCAATACATCACTATTTGTTCGTATGAATGTTTTCAAGAGTTCTAACTCTTTCTCTCTCTTATGCACACAGTTACTATTGAATCAAGTGGGGTATTTCCTCCCGAAGTGTTAGTTACTGAAGCTGTGAAGATATTGGAAGAGAAGTGCGATCGTGTTATTTCCGATCTTTCTTGATGCTCTGTTGTTTTTTTTTTGTTTTTTGTTTTTTGTTTTTTTTGTAGAAAGGAAATGAAGCAAGAGAGAACAGTAGAACACCTGATTAATTATACGATGTATGTTTATTGAGAGATCGTGAGTCCGCATCCCAGTATGAGATGCAAAATTGATAATTTTTAGTAAGATGGTCAGTTTTTTTTTTCAATCTTCTCTGTTGAGTTTATTCCAGGTGTGGTTGCTTTTTTGGTTAGAAACAAAGAATGAATTTACCAACTATGGAAGGACATGGTGCAATGCAACAGCAGGGCTGCACTGCTAGCCTAGCCCTCATGAATCAGACAAGGTCTCTGTTAGTCATCGTATGTTACCACATATGATCTTGATAGTGTTCCGCTAAACGGGGAAATCAATAGAGAAAATTACACTAATCTACTTGGTTTTATAGCCTTGTAATTTTTTTTAAACCGCTGAAAAAGAAATTGAGTCTATTTATTTAATGCAATTATAATTGATTCAGATTATTTTCTTTTTGGAGGCTTGAGAATACTATCGAGTAGATGTCCTCATAGCCATGCTTTATGAATGACCCAAAAAAAACATGCTTTCTGAAGTTTGTGAAAAGGATTATTATAGCAATAAGTGAGCTGCTGTGTACATGTCTGAGAAAGAGGGGAACCATCAAATTTATTTGATGGGTATGTTTTGTAAAACATTCCCAGACAGTTTCCTGTTTGGAGAGCACGATTAGCTGCCAATTTGTTCCATCTTCCAACTGTTTGCATTAATGACATGTTTCTTTGCTCTTCACTTTTTAACTAAGCACACTAAAACACAAAATTTCAATGACCGAAGCCCTTTCAATTATGGATGTTTCTTTTGAGTGAAGTTCAAACTTCCTACGCTTCCTTCACTCCCACCACACCATCATCTGTGCAATAGAGAAACGCAGCCACGAGCGACAGTGATACATTATCAAATCATAAAATGTCTGCATTTCCATGCTTCTTTTCTTGCCTTGGGGGAGAGATTTCCATTTTAGTACTATGCTCGAATATTGAAAATGCAGCGACCCTTTTCTTGTAATATTAATCGGTTTTTTTCTTTTGTTATTTAGGTGAGTTGACTTCAAACTCTGTCAAGGAACTTAGCAAAACATGGTATACATATACTATTCCATTTGAGAGGGGATAAAAAAATGACAAATGTTGAGGGAAGGGGGAATTGCATATACTTAGGGTTCAACCTAATTCCTTCTACCCTTATGTCGTCTTGGTCCAACTACTTCCCATCCATCTTCTGCTTCGGCAGCCAGCTTGGGCTTTGGCTCACAGTCTGACATGCTTACAACATTTACATTTGAATGAGACTCCGCTGTGTCCACCATCATCATGTTTGAGGAATCATCATTTCCCATGCAATGATCTCTATCATCATTTTCTTCATCACTATCGTCGTCATCATTTGCAACCTGGCATGAGTAACAAACAGAAATGAAGAGATAGCAGTAAGGCATATCATTTCAACTTATCATCCTCCCTCCGCCACTCATGACTTTAAAGAACCCATATGAGCAAGAAAGGTTCTCCACCATTCTTGTGCAGTAAAAAAGATCTCTCACAAGAACATCCAAAAGGAGTTCTTTCCAACACATGACAAAAGTGTTAACAGGGCATATGAGAAACTTATGTTAATAATTAGTAAAAACTTTTAGGTTGAGGGATTGAACTTACCTCTCTAACATGAGGAACAGCAACTCTTCGATGATTGGCTTCCCTTAGGCTTTCAATAGACTTGAAATTACAGTCTAAACATTCTTCATGCATAATCATTAACTTTTCAGCAACCTGTGCAAACATCATAAAGATAGAAGCCATAAGTAAAAACCGCATCCGTAATATCAACTAGTTTATAAAAACAATAATGAACACATGAAATGATCCATGAATAGTCTATCTAATGAAACAAGTGAGCAGTGCCTCTAATGACTGGAGATGCGGCTGAGAATCAGCTGCCAACTGAAATATACTTGATGCTAAAAGATCTTATTTCTAAAAGTCAAATAGTCGGCCAGGTGGTCTGAGACACACACATCACAAACATTTGTAATGGTTGCCCACTTTGAGTCACACAATCTATGGAGCAAGCAATAAATTTTGAGTTTCCCACCACAAGCATAGCATATTAAGTCTCTCGTATAATCTATTAAGATATTGTTAAGTGTTGAAATGCTTACCTCCTCAATGCTGCCATCCTCTGTCATAGTGTTGAGAGAAAGCATAGCTTCATTCAGCATATCTTCTAAATCATCTATGTAAAGAGGCTCTGGGGAGAACGAACACACAGTTAGGAGAAAACCCACAGGTGCAAAATTCACAACATTAGTTAATGATTTTGCTCGGTTAGAACAACAGATATTCTCATTTTAACATCAAAGAAAATTAACAGTTCCATTTATAATTTCCATATTTAAAAACTGCTACGAATTTTACTGAGTATAATCGTATCATGTTCCTAGTAATAATAGACCGCCACATTTCCACACAGAAACAGTCCAAAAATAGGAGCTTTTCTATAAGAGAGAGCAAACCTCACCAAATTGAATTAAACACTCAAAACTACAAGCAAAAAGAAGAACCAGCATACAATTGGCAATTATGGTGATAAAGGTTCTTACTTTCACAGATAAATTCCCAATAGAATCCTAATTCCATTCTCAGAAGCACAAGCATCACAAAATTCATTACACTGAAAGACCTCGATTAAATTCCAACAAATTTTAAAATACAAATTTTGGGATAAGAATCCCCTAAAAAAGAAGCAGCATATCAAATTTCAAGCTCTTTTTCCAGAAAAAACGAATATTTTGATGCGTCGAAGGAGTGGAGCTGAGTGAATTAAGTACCTTTGGAGTGATTGAACCAGGAGAAGATATCGGTGATGAGTTGCTCCGCTTTCAGGCGCGAGTCACGGCCACCCCACTCGTTCTCAACAGCCAATTGGAGCGCTGACCACCGAGACAGAACCAATCCTATGCCTTCCTGGAGTATGGACCCAGCCTCTGCCGATAGCTTTCTCTCAGCCTCCATTTTCAGCCTCTGTGTGGTAAAACCCTAACCCTAACCCTAAAAACTGAGAAATGTGTGTGAGGTTTATAAAGAAGGGGCCTGTTTGTTTTGCTGGAATGTTATACTCTTCACTCGGATTTAGTGTTTCTTACTCTAGTTTTGAAATAGGTGGTGGAGGAGTGATTTTTGAATAAGTATTTTATGTTAATAATTAGTTATATGCTTTTAATTTCGACGTTAGATTGCATTCATTCGATGTATTGATAGTCTCTTATATACAATCCAACGTTTGAGATTAGAAATATATAACTATTCCTTAACTTAAAAACTTATTTATAAATGTCTTTGTGAATGAGATAGAGGAGCTGTCATTGTTTGATAAATTTAAAACTTCGCTTACAAAAACTCGATATAAAATATGACTTCCAATTAACCAAACTTTGGTAAGAAAATAGAGAGTTTGAGGACAGCATTTGGAAATTCTAAATGCAACCTTACAACGTTTATCAAAATACGTTCCGGGATCCCAAGTTGGAAATACGCAGGGATATTGTTACATCTCAAATCAAAATAATTAATGGAAAATGAAAAATGATCAAACCATGGATCATTTGAAGGCTCCAAAGAGGTGATTTGATGTTTCATTCGTCAACAATAAAGTTCTTTTTCACCACCATGCGTGATTTTTTTTATTTATGCTTTTGGTCGGTTGAGGTTTTTTTTGGATTTTCTTTTTTCTTTTTTTTTTTAGAGATGTCAAAATGTTGTTCTTGACTCATTCCTCTTCTTAAGGAGAAAGCATTTAGTAAGGTATGTACTATGCACAACATGCTCTCACAATCACCTTATCACCTTTACCTTATCACCTAATCAATAATGATATGTATGGAAGACGAGATATAATATATCGCTGTCTCATTATTAAATTTTTGTTTAGCAAGAATGAGAAAGAAAGTAACTTTCGAGAGAGTTTTTTTTCTTTCCTTCCTTCTTGTACCCAACAAGTTTTTAAGTGGATTGTTAGTTTTGTGATTGAGATTTTTAAATCTAGACCCATGTTTCGTGGTCAAACTTATAAAAAGTTGTAATGTTTTTAGAAGAAAAACTGCCAATAAAAAGTATTGTTTATGTGCATAGAGAAGCACTGTCCATAGAATTTGGTCAGTTGATTGCCCACCTCTCCAAATTTCCAACATGACAATAATCAATCCCTGACCATCCGATTGGATCATGACCTCATCATCAACTGGCATTCTCATGGACTATTAACCATTTTCCTGTCTCAACAACCAAAACTACAAAAACAACTTATTTTAAAGTGGCAGAAGGGAAGGGAGAGGGGACATGCCTGGTTAATTGGTCATTTCCCAAAGTTTCAAAGCCTTAAAAAAATAAAGAAATATGATGATCAAAACTCCCAAAGCATGAAGGCAATAGGGTTTGTTTATCAGCAATTTTCTGTAATTGCCATGTTCATCAATGAATATCCCATGTTGTCTCTAAAGAAAAAAACTCCCAAAGCATGAGGGACAGGGTGGAGCCTTGGCCCATTATACATATTGATTCAGACACTTGTATTTGGGACAAAATACATTGAAATAATTGAACCCAAATAAAAAAGAAGAAGAAAATAATAATTAACAAAAAAAAGGCTAACTTTAGCAGTTTGGCTTTGACCCAATTCTCTCTCTGTCAAAGACTCAAAGTCTGAATACATGGATGGTTATGGTACATGGTAGTAGCCCACAGGGACATGAGAGACACCCAACTCTTTCTCAGTCTTTCTAATCCAAAACTCACTGAAAGCTTTTTCTTTCTTTTTCTCTCTCTCTGTCTCTCTCTCCACACATTTTAGGAAAGGGAGCTCTCGCACAACACATTGCTCTCCCTCTTTATCTCTCTCAACAGTTGTAGTGAGTGCTCTCTTTTCTTTCTTTCTTTCTTTTCCACTCTGCTAAAGCAAACCAAAGCAAAGCCTATCAAAGGTCTGATTTTTGTGAGGACGCTCTCTCTCTCGCTCTCTCTCTCTCTCTCTCTCTCTCTCTCTCTCTCAAGCCCCGGTACCTTTTTTGGGCTTCCTTTTCTATTCACTTTTAACTGGTCCTGTGATTTGCTTGGTGGTTTTTTGCTTCTCTATGCACTCTATCTTGTTTTTAAGCATCTGCGTCTCTGTGGGTCTTTTCTTTTGGATCCAAAGTGTTAGGTCCCTGTTTGAGATCTGTATGAATCTCTTTACTTTGGTTCTTATCTTTTGCTATATGCTATTGTATGTATTGAGAGGCGCACAAAAACTACATTCAGTTGATTTTTTCTTAGTTCCCATGCCTCTTTGATCCATGGGATTTTTCTGTAGAAAGTTTGTGCTTTCATGGGAAAAGGATTGGCATTTTGAGGTAGATTACTGTGACTCTTATACTTGGATTTACTTTTGACCTATCACTTGTTGAGTCTTTTAGATTATCTCATAGTTAGATACTTCTGGGTTGCATGCAACTCTGTGCTTTTATGCCCATTTCTTGATTTTCTCTATGCTGGTTGTTATTGTTTCTGATAATTGTATGTGAAATATTAAACGGTGATCTACTGGAACAAAAATTTTGCTTCTTTATGTTTTTTATTTTAGTTCATTTATATGATGCTTGCATTTTGTGGGTTTTGTAGCTCACATATGGATCATGTTGATGCTGATGTCTCTCTTTATTTTTGGCTGAAATGTTGTCGCTAGATGTGTATAATTTTATAGTTTGACTGGAAAATGTTCCTTCTACTGTATTATTTCTCTGTTGCATAGTGGTGAACTCTTTGTTTGTTTGTAGAAATTGTCTTGCAATTGATGGACGTGAAGATGAACATAAGTGGGAGTGTCAACGGAGGGGAACATTTGGTGAGTGATGGGTTTGTTCAATTTGATCTGTTTTAGCAAGTGTAATTTATGTCGATGGCCTCAAAATCTGGTGCCAGAACTTCCCCAGAAAGTCAGAGGAAATTAATTGGAAGTCAGACAACAGAAGGAAATTTTCGTAGACCTTCACCTTTACAGATCACGAAGACAAGCAAATCAGAGCCAGTTACTCCAAAAAAACTGCCTAGGCATGTGCAACAAACTGCATCTAAGGAGGTTTCTGCACAAACCACCGAAGAGAAGAACTGCAAGATCCCTTATTTGAAGGAGTCTACCAAATCTTTAGCTGACCAGTTAGGTTCAACTTTATCACTTGGTGATGCAAAACAGGTGCCAGCTGATGTGTGTCCTGCGGTGAGTGACACCAGGAATTTGCTGGAAGGTGGTGATCAAGAAAAGAAAATATCAGAAAATGGAGTTAGCTCAGCTCCAGCGAAAGTCAGTGATGGGACCAGCAGTCTTGCCAAGACTAGTGGAAGTGCCAAAATTAGTGATCGAGCTGATTTTGTTGAGAGTGGGAAGAGCAGTATTTGTAGAGGTAGCACAAGCAGTGACGTGAGTGACGAGAGTACTTGTAGCAGCTTAAGTAGCGCTATCAACAAACCTCACAAGGCGAATGACATACATTGGGAAGCCATACAGGCAGTCCGAGCAAGGGATGGTGTTTTTGGTTTGGGCCATTTCAGACTTTTGAAGAAGTTGGGCTGTGGGGATATTGGAAGTGTTTATCTTTCAGAGTTGAGTGGGACAAAATGTTATTTTGCAATGAAGGTCATGGACAAAGCATCTTTAGCTAACCGTAAAAAACTTCTTCGGGCTCAGACTGAGAGAGAAATACTTCAATGCTTAGACCATCCCTTCCTTCCAACCCTATATACCCACTTTGAGACAGAGAAGTATTCTTGTCTGGTGATGGAGTTCTGCCCTGGAGGCGACTTGCACACACTTAGGCAGAGGCAACCAGGAAAGCATTTTACTGAACAAGCAGTGAAGTATGTATGCTGTCCATATTCAAATGATTTTGTTTGCTATTGTCAGTTTAAGCATGCGTGGTTTATATATTTCTTTATTTTTGTTTTGACTTTCTTTTGTGACCCTGCTTCGTTGGTTTATTGCTATGTCATTGTTAGGTGGAAACCAATAAGATTCATGATGTGTCATAAATGGTGTTTATTCTCTTGCTATTGAATGATCTGTACTCAATCATACGGTTTTTGCTAAAGTATGCATAGACACATTTAATACCTATAATTGTAACTCAAACAAAATCGCTATAATGTGAAGAAATTTTTGCTGGGATCTACTACACTCAGTTCAATCATGGTTTGCTTCCTGCTATTGTGATGTAGACCTTCTTTAACATAAAACCACCAGTTTTGCCTTTTAGTAGTTGTAGAATGAATACGAAATCCCAAGCATGTTTATTTTTTTCTCAGTTACAACATTCAATCCTGTATCATTTCATAGCAAAGAAACAATCTTGCTCTCTTGTGCTGTTATTTGACTTTGACGGTCGTTAGTGTTATATTTGTCCTCGAATATGCAGGTTCTATGTAGCAGAAGTTCTCCTTGCGCTGGAATATCTTCACATGCTCGGGATTGTTTATCGTGACCTCAAGCCAGAAAATGTCCTTGTGAGAGATGATGGGCACATAATGCTTTCCGACTTTGACCTTTCCCTGCGCTGTGCTGTCAGCCCAACCCTTGTCAAATCTTCAGCTCCTGAGTCTGAACCTTTTCGAAGGAACTCAGCTTATTGTGTGCAACCCGCCTGCATTGAGCCCTCTTGTATTCAGCCATCTTGTGTGGTGCCTACAACATGTTTCTCCCCTCGTTTCTTTTCAAGCAAATCCAAGAAAGACCGGAAACCCAAGAATGAAATCGGAAACCAAGTCAGACCATTACCAGAACTTATGGCTGAGCCAACCAATGCTCGCTCGATGTCATTCGTTGGGACCCATGAGTATTTGGCACCAGAAATTATCAAAGGTGAAGGGCATGGCAGTGCTGTTGATTGGTGGACTTTTGGGATCTTTCTGTATGAGCTGTTGTTTGGTAAGACTCCTTTCAAGGGATCAGGGAATCGAGCCACCCTGTTCAACGTGGTGGGTCAGCCATTGAGATTTCCAGAGACACCAGTGGTTAGCTTTTCAGCAAAGGATCTGATAAGGGGCCTACTAGTGAAAGAACCACAGCAAAGGCTGGCATATAAGCGAGGAGCAACAGAGATTAAACAGCATCCCTTCTTTGAAGGTGTTAACTGGGCATTGATTC